AGCCTCATGTATGTCGTAATATAAGAAATAATAATAAAATAAAATTTCTAGTTGCTGAAGAAGTCCCAATAAAGGGACGAAACGTCCAACTAAATCAAACATAGTTCTACTTCTTTCATGTCCAAGTTCCCTGTTAAATTTCATCATTATATATATAATATTAAATTAAAATTCTTTATGTGTTGTGTGTTCATGCATTATACGTATGCATTTTGAATTTCTTTCCCGCATGTTTTCGTATAATGAAAGATAAAAGGAAAGGTGTGTGCACGATTAGAAATAAATACCTCGATAAAAATACAGAAAATGTTTAAATTATTTAATTATTTGTTTGTTCAAAATAATATTGAAATTTTTGCACAATTAATTATATTTTTTAATCGTCAACCCTACCTACATAAATACATGCAGTGGGGGGGACAAAAGTTTTTAATAAAATCCGTTAATAAAATCACCCTTTTTTTTTTTTTATATTCAAGTAGCAGGAATTCCTCCTACGAGAACTTTTTTTTTTTTTTATTATCGCAGAATGAACGACTCTGTACACGCAACTTAAAAGTGACCTAAAACCTCTCTCTCTCTCTCTCTCTTTCTTTTTTTCTTCCCTAACCATAATTACTGCTACTTTCAAATGTAATTATTCTACGTAAAGTGTCGCGTATAGAATATCGTGCATTGTAAGATACTATATAAAATGTGTGTTGTACAAAAATTTGAGTTCATTACACCTTTGTCCTTTAGATAACATCGATATGTCACCGTTTTTACGATGTCTACGATATAAGGGATAATAAAAACAAAAATAAATTATTGCACAGAGTGTTTCATTAATTAAAGAAATGTCATATTGACGTATACAAAAAAAAAAAAACAATATGTAAATTAGGTGCACAGCAATAAATTCTAATTAATATTTTTATCTACAATACTCGAGATTGACCATACAAATTGGAAGAACATATTGTACAAAGTGGAATTTATATTTGAATTAACGATATAGGAAACATTTAATAACAAATTGATAAACAAATAAAATGAAAATACATCAAAGTAAAATGAATGGACCAAAGTTAAACGTTTCTAATTTAATTTCTAATAACATTTCTTTTTTTATTTCAACTTGTAGATTATATTTTCACATTTGTTTGGTAAAACTTGAGATATAGGTTCCATATAAATAAAAATTACTCACGTATCATGCACAGAAGATCTTTGAATTTTTTTGTATACGCCTACGGTGAATCTGTCCTGATGAAAAAGCTGCGATGGCGATAATGAACGTATTCGTCTTCTGAAAGGACTATTTATAAACACAGGATCATCTGTACGTGTGCTAGATGATGATTGTTCAGTCTCGGTAAATTGTTGATTAATCGGCTCGTTAATTTTCCAATCATTTCTTGACTGAAACGATATCTCGTAAATTTCGGTTAATTATTTCATATTTATTTATATTGATTATTATTTAAAAAATGAATACATTTAAAAACGATAAAACGACACAATTATTACATATCATTATACCTGTCCATACGATTGATGATTAATTATTGTTTCTTCACCTTTTGTATTGGCCAGATCTTGATAATTACGTGTATACGCAGCAGTGTTAGTTGTATTCAATGTTTTAAACGATGCTCCGTTAATTAATTGTCTTTGTCGTTGGAAAATTGTATCAAATCTAAAAATTATAAAAGCCATACGGCGACGAGTGTTTTTCTATCGTTTTTTTATTTTTCTATGAAATATAATTTAGGTAATATTATTATATCGTTTAAAAAAATATGAACGAATGTTGAGAAAACTAACGTTTCGAAATGTGGTAATTTGTTTTGTTGATTAGTATCGAATATTGTATATGGTGATGGTAACGTTGTTTCAATTGGTTTCATTCTCGAATATTTTAAATAGCCGTCAGAACTCTTCGAATATCTTTCCTTGACTATTGCTCGAGGATGATCTTGAGATACGAATTTCGATCTAATGTTTACTTCATTCGATATATTTTGATTACTTTCCACGGTGTAATGTGAATTTATTGTACAGGATAAAGGACGATACGTATTTCTATGGGAATCGAATGTTTGATTCGTTACTTGGCTATCTAACGATGTCATAGGAGATATTCCGGCATCTTGTTGAAAACGTTTGCGTCTTTGATACGTTGTTTCTAATCTGTGTGCATCCAAAAATATTATTTATTAAAAATATATATATATATATATATATAATATACGTATTTATTCATTTATTATTTACAGTAAATAGCAGAAGAAGAAACGTCATTTACAATAAAATTGAGTATAACAACACTTGCTATTTGTCATATATTTAAAAATTACAAATAATCCCCATGCATTGGAAAAATCCAATGTGTGTTATAAATAATTATTTGATATTTCCAAATATTCAATTATTAATTATGCAATCTTTGTTTCTTTTCTTTCCTGACATTTCTTCTTCGACTCTTCGATTCTTTTTATATATATATATAGATATATATATACCCAATATTTTTACTTCTTAATTTTAAAACGTTATTTTTATTCTCCGAATTGTATAGAGTATTTTTTCTTAATTTAGCATTTAACTGATCTAAATTATTTTCGGATAAAGGGTTAGATGATTGATCGTTTAATTTTGTACTCGATGTTCCTCGTGAATAAAGTATCGGAATTTTGGATTCCATTCTGATGTTCGATGTTTCTTGAGACAATGGTCGAACCAAACGATCATCTTGAAAATTGATATTTTCATTATCATTGAGATTGATTTGTGCTGTTACTCGATGATTTAGATTTATACTAATTCCATTTCTATTCAATGTATTTGTATTCTGATTATCTCGACTTGTACGTGAATGACCATCTAAAACATAGTAAATTGCAATAATCGTTAGTCCGTCTTGTTTCATTTTCTATTCATTAAATATTCAATTTAAATCGATTACCATTGTGATTACCAATATCATCAATTCGTTCTTCCAACCCTTGAACATCATTTAAACGCGATAAAGTGTCCTCCTAAAACAATTATTATGAATAATATTCTTTTCAACAAATAATTATCACACACAGGATCGTTTTCTAACCTTTATTATTTTTAATTGATTAATTACATTCGAATTAGACTTCGTCATAATTGAATAATAAAATAACGATGTTGCATTATCGTTAAGAATGATATTCTATTAAAAAAAATGACATATATATATATATATATATATATAAAAGAATAATCTGTAAATTTAATAAAATTTTCTTTCAATACTAATTCGATAGATTTTTATATGATTTGACAGATGACAGATTTTACAAAAATAATGGTTAAATATATCTAACAAAGGGAGAACACAATTTGAGAGAAATTGAAATTGTTTAATCATTTGGTAATTGTTTTAATATATATATTATATTGAATAGAATTTTTTAAATCGTGCCCACCCTTTGTAATAACATCTACACGTACGTATATATATATATAAAGAAATTAGTATGTTAAATGTTACAAATTATATGCAAACTAATGTATATATGTGATAGTTAAAAAATGTCTCTCAAGCTTAATCACGAAGCAACAACTTTTATTTAAATAAAAAAAAAAATCGAATTAAAACGTAAATTAGTTGTATTATAATCCGACGTGTTATTTATAACCTAAGAATTTTTCTCGTTTGACCTTAAAGAACGGAGCTTTCTTAAGAAGCAAATATTAAATAGCGTGATAATGGTTAATCACGAAAATGCAAATGTAATTATTAGTGAATCATAAGTATTTGTCACGAAACCTACCCACGAAGTTAACTTTTTATCTATGTTAGCTTGTACAAAAGTTGAAATTTCTTGATATCAATGCGCATATAAATAATCATTTATATATTACATATATTTATAAATGTATTTATGTATTTATTTTACCTGATTTTGAGGTAATATTTGCCATACTACGGGTTTCTCGTTTGTAGAACGTAAAGCTATACCACGCGCAAACAAATTTTGTCTGTTTGCCCATGGGCTCCCATACTTCTTTGCATTTTTATTTCTAAATAATAATAGATAATCTATATTATAATAGGTTTAATTAAATATAATATTATATATAAAAGAACAATCCATTATGCAGTTTATAACACAATTTGTAATACAATAAATGCACGAGTTTTCGGTTCACCCTAATATTATAATAATCAAATGAAAATGATATAATTACCTCAAAAAATTTCCCCTGTCAGGTTTAGCCGTTGCGATTTGACGTTTGCTACGTCCTGTACCAGGTGAAACCGAACCACTTCCGGCTACGATCCAATCAACGTCAGGTCCTAAATAAAAATGATGCGTGTTAACTTTAAGAAAAAAACAAACATTGATTTAGAAAAATAATTCCGCGAGTTAGAAATTATGTGTCACACAAATATTAATATATATCTTGATGATAAAGGTTCATAGGGAACTTGGACATGAAAAGAAGTAGAACTTAATTTAACTAAGTTGGACTTCTTTTCATGTCCAAGTTCCCTATGAACCTTTATCATCAAGAATTATAATTTTGGACGAGAGACAATACTGAATAAATTAATATATATTACACATTTATTTCTTTTAACAAATTTTCTATCAAAAAAACAACATGCAAACATGCAAAGAATAATAATGATATTATATATATTAGGGTGAATCAAAAAAAAACTTTTATTTTTTTTTTGGATCTGACACACAAAAACTTGTTGCTAGGCACCTTTAGAAAGTACTCACCCAGTATGGGCTCTTAATTTTAATAGGAAGATCCTCCTCATCGCGGTTTTTTATTTTTTTCTCAGTCCAACAGAAAAAAATTCATACCTYCTCATTAATTGATCATACGAAAAAATGTTTTAATCAAATTTTGTAGGAAATTCAATGTTCTACAAAAAAGGTTACTTATGTTTTTTTCGTAAACCTCACTATTTAAAAGATATTGAAGATTTTAGTTTGATTATTTTAAGACAAATTTCATTTTTGTTTATGAATTTTGTTACTGACTGAGTAATAATTATTATCAAATGAGATGCACTGATTCTTGCAGGAAATTTAACGCTCTACAAAAAAAGTTTGGTATGTTTAATTGATTAAAAAAAAAAAAAAAAAAAAAAAAAAAAAGTAATAAAAACGTACGTATCATTCTCTTTTTCCAAAAGTAAAGCTTCTTTACATTCATGAAAAATGTTAAAAAAAGATTAAAAAACTTTAATTGAATTAATATAAACTAAAATTCTCGTAAAAATTTCTAAAATTCATGAATTTAATAGATAAATTTGAAAAAGTTATTAAAAAATGATTGAAATCAGAAAGCATTGGGATTCGTATACGAATATCTTTTAAACGGTTGGAGTAATCAATTAAACATATCAAACCTTTTTTGTAAAGCGTTAAATTTCCTACAAGAATCAG